CCTTTTTTACAACACTGCTGTTGCAATTGTTATATCTAGCACACCTTTCATATTCCAGCAAAGGCCAACTCATCTTCACCATATATATACAGGGATATTAGAGCTTGTATGGTTACACATTTTCCAATAACTCCTAAAGAAGGTAAACAAACCATATAGGTTATAATTGTGGTCAATAATTGTGGTTAAAATGTAGGTTTTGGTTTTAATAGTTCTCATCTATCTTGTAAATCAAATAACATTTTTATTTTTAATCTGTAACAACTATGGCTAACTGACTTCCTCAATCTCCTGATTCCACGTCTTTATACTTTATTTGTCTTAAAAAGTAATTGTACTAATTTTAGGCCATCCATTCTAAATCACAGCATCTCACATTGATATGGAAACAGTACATGCCATATATCTTCATAAAAAATCCATTTTGAAAGGTACTATATTACTCAACTTTACCCAAAAAGCATTCATATCCACTTTTCATATGAAATATGTTTTTGGATAGATTGCTCTTCAGGGAAGATAAGTACTTCCAATTGCTTTTGTGTTGATTCAGGTGATATTAACTTTAAGTATATTGCAATCCATTAATTTCAGAGGCACATCCTCAACCCCTAATAATAATAAGGAAACTGTTGAATATTTGGTGAAGCGATAACATGGTGATTATTGTGGCACCTAAAATCTTTGATGTTCTGCCCTCTGAAACTACTTCTCATAGTAAATTACTGAATTTCACTTGCCAATGCACTTTAAGTCATATGAACCATTATTTGAAAAGAACATTAAGTTACATAAGTTACATATATGTGCATGCCTCCTACTTAAGCTGATGTTATTCCTAAGTGGCTTGATATCTCCAGATGTCTAGCCTTTATTGATAAATACCTGTCAATTCTCTTGGTTTATACTAACATATGAATACATATTGTTCCTTTATCTATTTACTCTTTTATTTAGTAGACCCTTTTTCACATTTGGGATATTTTTTTCTACAGAAATGTGTCCTCGAATGGTTAGAGTTATCAGTTTCTTGTGTACATTAGTTATGGACCATATCTATCCAACACTGCAGAAATACCTATAATCTATTAGTCATATTCTAGAAGATTTTCTCTTTATTAGCATTAAGACTTTAATGAACTAATCAAAAGTCAGAAAGCAATGCGAATAGCAACTTCCTACTAAATGCAATTTTTTCCTATACGTCTGTCTTTGGTGTTCAAGACGAAAAAGACGAAAAAAATATTTGAAATGCAGGTGTTCTTCGTCGTGGCATCTGCGACTTCGATAATATCATAGTGACAGCGCTCAAATACTCACCCTTCAGTTCTTTGATCAGAGGATCCGATATGGACATCTTCTAGTGATATTGTGTAGCTCCCTGAGTAGAGTGAGTCGTAGAGTGAGTCATGGACCTTAATGCGAAGTCCTCCCTCCGTGGACACAGGACGCGATAACACTGACAGATCTATCAACTTTTATTTACATGAATTACGAGCGCTAAGTATTTTAGCAGTCGACTTGTAATTTAAAGCTGAATGTCTCGTAGATTATTTATTTATTTCATTTATATTAATTTCAGATATATTCTTCGATATCTGCTGTGGTAAAGTCGAATTATGTAAGTTCAAGTGTATGTTCAAGATCATAAGATGTTTACGTATATAATCTTCAAGATCATAAGATGTTTACGTATATAATCTGCACTATCATTATGATGGTGCATAACATAAAAAATTATTATGAGAATTCTATATTATTTTGTATATTTGAGGAACCACCATCATCTTACATATTTTGTTTTAAGCCCGTCGTCGTCAAATATTTCAGTCCATTGCAGCCGAATTCAAATTTTCACATTTTTTTCACACGGCCACCCATGCTGTAATCATTAATATTAAAGTAAGTTAGACCAATGAACATCAATAACAAAGATGAAGGCTGATAAGACTGTACAAAACCATAAATTAAAGCTTTGGCCGATACTGTAGTTTCAAAATCTTGGGCCGGGAACACACTGGCGACTTTGTAGAGCCACAAGTGGCTGCGTTTTGTGGCGGAGATATTTTCTCCCCTAGGTTCCCATTGTTTTCAAGCTTTGCCGATCACACTTGTGTCTGTGGCTCGCGACTGTGGCAAGCTGTCGCTCGTCGATTGCGATTTGCGAAGTTCTAGCTTCGCCCGGGCCTTCGGCTTTGGCCCGGCCTGTGTCAGCTTTGTAGGGCTGACTCCTTTCGTTCTATGACACACGGGGTAAACGAATCGCAAAGTCTCTTTACCAGCACGGCGGCTGTTGTCGGGGGTCCCTGTCTCAGGAATTGTGTGTGTACACAATTCTCTAAGTAATGCATAAGTGTGGCGTTCGGCTCGCCGCAATGCATGCAACACCTCTCTTCACGGACAATGGTCTCAATTATCTGCCATTTACAGTGGTGACCTAGGCGCATTCTGTGGAGAATGACTTCGGTTTGTCTTATTTTAACTCGGAGAATGCCAGAGGTTCATAGCCTGTTGCTTCTGAATACCATCTGGCCGAGGGGGAGGATCTCGTTGCCTCTCTCTGAAGCTGCAGGAGGAAGGAGTTGGCGACACCAGTACTCTTCTTCCGAAGTAAACTACGGCTAGGTGCAATGATCATGGGACTAGGGGGCATACCCCTGCCAGAGACTGCTAGTCTGTCAGCAAGTTCATTCCCTCTGATGCCAATATGGCTAAGGTCCCAGTTAAGAATGATTCTTCTACCCTGAGCCAGTATTCTTTGGGCTATTGTCAGTATTGTGGTCAGGAGGTAGATATTGTCTTTGGTGTTGCTTGTCCCCGCCACAAACAGCGCATTTTGTGGTGGCGTTTTGTGGCTGGCTGAGAGCACACTAGTGACCTCTGGCGACCACATGTGGCTGCTAATCAGTGATGCAGGAAACTTCGTAGAGGTGAAGTGTGTGTTGTCCCGCTGTTCAAACAAGGCAAGTCATTAAGCCCCAATAAACTGTACTTAGCATTCTTTTTTCAGTGTGAAAGGTCAATATTTATTTATATACAGAGAAACCGTATCTAATACATAACCTTCCCGTTTTCAACGAGAAGTTAATAGATTTAAGTTATAAAAAAGTACAATACAAATTAAATTTTAAATTCAATGAAATATTAACAGACGCAGTTTTTCGCATGTTCAAAAAAAAAAATTTATTTAATAATTTAATCAAATAAATTTAATCACTGCTAAGTTAGATACCATTGGCGTTATTCTGTCATTGTAATCATATTTAAAATTTGTTTCCCACATTTGGCATTATTTGAAATACCATTTGTTATTGTCTGCAGAGTGTGACTTGACAAACTTGTAGTCCGGGCTGTACCTGCCATGGCTTCATTCGGCTTTGACACAGAGCGATTTATTATTGAAATAGAAGATAGGCCAGCGATTTGGGACGTGCACCTCAAGGAATACAGCAACAAAATTTTGAAAGCAAAGGCATGGGAGGAATTGTGCTCTATATTTGTACCCAACTTCAATGAGTTGGATTGCCAAGGAAAAAACAAAGCAAGTATGACATTTCATATATTTACATTCACAATATTTGATATTGTAAGTCTAGTATTTCATACATAGCTGTATAGCTACAGATCTACAACGGAAATGGAAGAGTTTGAGGGACTCCTATAGAAGAGAATTGACATTGTCGAAGAAAGAAAAATTGGGATCTAGTGCAGGAAGTGGGAGGAAGGAATATATGTACTTCAAACAGCTGTCTTTTCTTCAAGAAATTTGCGCAACAAAACCAAATGCAGCTGAAAGTGTCGAGGATACTACAGTGCAGGGAGATGAATGAGAAAACCCAGGAGAGCCTGCACCTTCCACTTCTAATGTGAAAAGGAAGAAATCAACTGTACAATCAGATGAAAAGATTATTCTGAAAGCTTTAGCTAAGAAAGCAAGCCTCCCTCACGATCATGATACAGATTTCCTTCTTGGTCTGGTGCCTGACTTCAAGAGTATTCCTGAGAGTGTCAAGTTCGATGCTAAGCTTGAAATCATGAATGTGATCAAGAGGTATAAACAACATCCAAATCATCTGTATTTTACATCAAGTCCATATTCACATGCGAGTCATACATCACACAATTTCGCTCCTAGCATCATGCATGCACAATCAATAGTACCTCAAAGCCAACCCGTACTACCCTGTACACCATCACCTGCACAACTATCTGAAACACAATCGGTATCCCCATGGTCGGATGATTCAGTCATGAGTAATTTGTGAACAAAACACTGAAGTGACAACACAAATATTATCATTGGAAGCATTCATAATCTTAGCGATATAGGAAAGGAAATATAGCTTTGTATTGCAGTACAGTTTCATTGAAATACAGTTTAATAAACTCACTAAAAATAATTGTATTATTTACATACCTTAATGTCATGGCAAGTCTCTCCTCAGCTGGAATGCTCTTCCTTAGGTGTGTACTGTCTTTGCGAATTTGGGGGCCAATTATGGCCAAGAGTTCGCTGAAACTTTCCTGGGTCATCCTAAAGTATTCAAAAAATTTATCATCATCTGCTCTTAAGTCACTCATTATCTTGTAAAACAGTCCGTCGGTCAATCTCGAAACAGTAATTGGGTGCATCCATAGCGCTCTCTGACAACGGCGGCAGCGACGTCGCAGAAGTATAAGCAGTGACAGTGCCTCTTCCTCAGAGTCCATGCTGAAACTGAGATGTAGTGATATTGGTGTGGCAACCACATGTGGCCGGGTATTCAAAACATAACCACATGTGGTCGCAACTTGTGGCTCTAAAAAGTGGCTAGTGTGCTCTGACCCGCCACTTTGCGCGGCCACTTGTGGTGCCACAGAGTGGCTAGTGTGCTCGGGGCCTTGCCCTTGTCATAGTCTCCAAAACAACAGCAGCAGCAGCAGCAGCAGCAACAACAACAACAACAACAACAACAACAACAACAACAACAACAACAACAACAACAACAACAACAACAACAACAACAACAACAACAACAACAACTCACCATCTCGTGTGTGATTTCATTGCAAAGAAGTTGAACATCAATAACAAAGATGAAGGCTGATAAGACTATACGAAACCATAAATTAAAGCTTTGGCCGATACTGTAGTTTGAAAATCTTGCCCCTTGTCATAGTCTGCAATAAAAAAAAACAAACTCACCATCTCGTATGTGATTTTCTTGCAGAATGAGTACAAGGCGACCCCTGAGCAGCCTTGGCCTTGCTGTCCCCGTCGTTGCAAGGCTTTTGGACTCGGATTTCCTTTATGACGATGATGTGCAGGACTTGAAGCCGACGGAGCTGAGTTCTGGTAAGAAAGAGGGATTTATTTTGTGTGTTTAAAGTGGAATTATAATTATGTGCTCTATTCTGGGATTTTTTTTTGTGTGTGTGTTTATACAGTGGAAATATAATTATGTGCTCTATTTATTTATTTAATTTTTATGTGTGTTTACAGTGGAAATATAATGATGTGCTCTATTCTGCTAGTTATGCTTATATGTACGTACATACTTGCTAATATACAGCCATGTATTCACGGTACATGCATACCTTTTTAATACATATGTTAAACCATCTTTGGTAGAATCAGAAAAGTCCCTACATTTATTAGCTTGTACTTTTTTTATATCACTGAGTAAGCTCCACTCTTGCAAACCTGAAACCAAACTGGATTTTTTTTTTTGCTAGGGGCCCACTGCTTGTCTCTCTTTCTCTTTCACTCTCTCTTTTTCTCTCTTTCTCTTTCATTCCCTCTTTCTCTCACTTTCTCTTTCACTCTTTCTTTCTCTTTCACTCTCTTTCTCTCACTTTTTCTTTCACTCTCTCTTTCTCTTTCGCTCTCTCTTTCTCTTTCACCCTCTCTTTCTCTTTCACCCTCTCTTCTCTTTCACCCTCTCTTTCTCTTTCACCCTCTCTTTCTCTTTCACCCTCTCTTTCTCTTTCACCCTCTCTTTCTCTTTCTCCCTCTCTTTCTCTCTCTCTCTCTCTCTCTCTCTCTCTCTCTCTCTCTCTCTCTCTCTCTCTCTCTCTCTCTCTCTCTCTCTCTCTCTCTCTCTCTCTCTCTCTCTGTCTCTCTCTCTCTCTCTCTGTCTCTCTCTCTCTCTCTGTCTCTCTCTCTCTCTCTCTGTCTCTCTCTCTCTGTCTCTCTCTCTCTGTCTCTCTCTCTCTCTCTCTCTCTCTCTCTCTCTCTCTCTCTCTCTCTCTCTCTCTCTCTCTCTCTCACACACACACACACACACACACACACACACACACACACACACGCACACACACACACACACACACACACACACACACACACACACACACACACACACACACACACAGTATTGATTTTCTTTTCTTTGTGTCCTTTTCTATTCTCTTTCTCTTTCTCTTTCTCTAAGTATCATCAGATTACATTTCCTTTCTGCAGCAACTGGGCTGACCTTAAAGGAGAGTGCCGAGGTACTTCGTCTGGCAGCAAGCGTGAATGCAGAGCAGCCAGTCACAGTTATGCAGATGATCGAAGTAATTGATTGTTGTTATCACTTTGGGTGACTTTTGATATGTATTAGGTTAACAGGTAGTTCACATATGATTTATATAAAGCTATTCAACATAAATGTAAGTCAGTACATAATCAAAGCCTTGCATATCACCATGTCAGAAAAATTTGAGGAAAGGAAGGATTAGATGAACAAAATGAAATATGTCAGTATCTAGTGCTATTTATCCAATGTGACAATCCGTTTTATTCTGTATATTTTATTGCAAAAATAAGTAGACTGATGCATATTTCTTCAACCCTACCCCCCTTTTTCTGAAAATAAAAACACAATATTGTTTGTTTTTTTATGTGTTCAAATTGATAAATTCTGATAAAGCATTGTAATACTAATTTATAAGGATTCAGATACAGTAATCAATTAAAGATAAAAATAATCTAACTTATGCATCATCATATTCCAGGATGAGAGTGAAGTGTGTCATGTAGTAACTTTTTGTGAAGCTCTTGATGATATGCTTGGGGGAGGCATACCCCTGCGTGCAATAACAGAGGTATCAGGGACGCCAGGTATTGGGAAAACACAGCTCTGGTAAGGCACTGTTTGGGTATTATTTACCTGTATATGAGTTTGCAGAGAGATGAGATTTTTCTTTGCTGTTTCTTGCTCTTTTTTATCTTTCTCTCTTTTTTCCTTTTTGCCGTCATATGCTCTTGATGTTCCTTTTCTTTTTGGTATTGCTATTATTATTATTGTTTTTATTGCTATTGTTGTTATTATTATTATCAGTATTTTATATTCTCATCATCAAAATAATGTTTGTATTTTAACATGGAAAGCTTATTTGAAATTGTACACTTAAACCATATACTTTATCTAAATGTTTATCAATATGTATATCTATATGTTTATTTATATATTTATCTAAATGTTTATCTATATGTTTATCTAAATGTTTATGTAAATGATTATCTAAATGTTTATCTAAATGTTTATATGTCCCCCAGCCTGCAAGCATGTGTGTCTGTACAACTTCCGGAGAGTGTGGGTGGTGTTGGGGGAGAAGCCCTTTTTGTAGATACTGAAGGAAGTTTTACTGTTGGGAGACTAAAAGGTAAAATATATTTAGGGGTTCTTATTTTTTTAATGTACTACATTTAATGTTTATTTATTTATCCATTTTGAAATGGTTATATATATTCATTGGTTATAGTTTACATTGGTATTTGATTTAGAAAATGAGTCTTTGACCTAATGATATTTTGATTTTGTTTAACAATTAATATATCTTTTTTCTTTCGTTCTTTCTTTTTTCCTCTTCTTCTTGTTCTTCCTCCTCTAGATATGGCAGGTCATGCAGTAGAACATGTTCAGAACATTGCAGGAGATGAAATTGATGTGTCTTCCTTTACAATTGAATCAATTCTCAAGGGAGTTCATTACTTCAGGTATAGTTATGTAAGGAAGTTTGTTTTATGAAAAAAAAATACTTATGTTGTCTGTAAAGTAGTTTTGACTGAGATGAATATTTTTTATAGGTAATAAAGTACACATTGAATAGGCTAATAATTTTTCCTTTCTATTTTATTATAAAAGAAAATGTTAATTTCTTTTTTAGGAAAGATTTACCATAATGTTTAGAAGTTTAATAAATAAATATTCTCATAAAATTATATTATTATGAAAGAGAAAAAATCATGATTGCATGAATTAAACTTTATCCCACAGATGTCATAGTTACATTGAAGTTCTTGCTGTGATACGTCACCTGCCGGTCTTCCTTCAGTCACACCCAAGATTGAAGCTTTTCATCATTGACTCCATTGCCTTCCATTTCCGCCATGATTTCCCAGACATGATGGCCCGAACAGGTCTTTTGTGCAGGATAACACAGCAACTGATACAGCAGGCTACCAAATTTAATATGGCTGTATGTTTGTTTTATATTTGTGAGGGATATGCAAATATTGAAACTTCAGAATTCTTTCTTCAAAAACAGTTAACATCATAACAAATCCTGTAGGCTTTATCAGGAGGATACAGATATATCTGATTATCTGATCCTTACACATGTATATACATACTTACAATGTATTTCTTTCTTTCCAGTCACATTGTAAACTCTTTATATTTTCAGAATATATTGATTTACATAAAATACAGACTCAAAGGAATTAAGGACTATGCAAGAATTTGGTATATTACATATGATCAAAATAGGAGATTCAATTCAAGATTCAATCACTTCTGTCACAGATTTATTCACCTTGTTTGCTACAGGTAATTGTCACAAACCAAATGACCACAAGAATAGAGAGTGGTGGATCCCAGTTGGTAGCTGCCCTAGGAGAGACTTGGGGTCACTGTCCAACCATGAGACTGACTCTACACTGGTCAGGTAGAGTGCGAGTTGCTTCTCTCACAAAGGCCCCACACAGGAATAATGCTTCTGTTCAGTACCAGGTACGTGAACATTACTTTGTTTATATAGCCTCCAATTAGCATTATTCCTATTCATATTGACTTGTTCATTTATGAATTCTGTATTCAAACTAGTATGACAAAGATACAGTATATCTAGGATTACAACTAGAACAGCTAAATAAATATACATTACTTGAACATAATCATGAAGAAAATTACTCTGTTCAAAAGAGTACTAATAGTGTAATTAGGAAAACTACATTAATTTTGACTTCAGTTAAGGAATGGTTGACCATCTCATAGAATTGTTTATAAATGCAGTAGCTTCTGTGTCCAACACATAGTACCGTAATATAATTAGCGTCCTGGGGAACCCATAGAATTTTAATGGCTGGTATGTTTTTTCTTTTTGAGAATGATCTCAGGGTTTTGTGGAAACCTTTTCAGGGTATCTATTTGTTTGAAAATAATTGTTTGGAAAATTTATGTCAGCATGAAACAGGCTCCAGATGGAGAAAATATTATATGCTCTATTGGGTAAGGTGAATATTTTATTGATCCATATTTTTGAGGTGAGATGCTTAAATTATTCTTTGCTAAACCAATAAGTATGGGTTTTCTGTGAACAGTAGTCTGCAAGAACCATTTTCTGTGATGATCAGTGTATTAACCCATTGCTGCCAGGGAAAATGAACAAAAAATGGGGGAAATGCAGTACTCATCTTTTATATTTTTGTGAAATATCTCTGTCCATAGATAGCTCTGCTAGTCCTGATTTCACCTTTCCTTGAATTGGCAGGAAAAATGTATTCTTACTAGTGCTATGAATATAGATGGTGTTATTTTTAACAATAAATTAGGATAACGTTAAATATTTTCGTAAATCGATGAATAGGGTGAACGGGCGAGACAGGCAGTACTCGTAATTGGCTCATTGGTGACTTAGTACAAGTGTAGCCATCTATGTGTAAAAACAATCAAACAAGTCGACTCCCAGTGGGCATGGCATTGGTATCCTTTCTCTATGTCTCAGTTAAACTTAATGTTAGGATGCTGGTCTCTGAAGTAGGATAGAAACTTGCATGTGACGGAGGTTTGAACTGGAAAAATGTGTCATCTATGTACCTTTTGTTAAAGAAAAGAAGAAAAGTTTGAATTCAAGAAGACAGCTTTGTAAATAGGTCTTTTCATCATGGCATTGCAAAAAGATATGTGCATAGCTAGAGCCAGTGGGAGAGCCAATAGCAACACTTGCCATTTGTCTATAAATAATATTCAAAGGTAAAAACTAAATATTTAGTGGCAATAATTTGTGAAATAGATATTATATTATGTTATATATATGTATATTATATTATATATGTATAAATATTATATATTATATTACATTTTATATATATTATATATATATATTTTATTATATATTATATATATATATATTATATTATATTTTATATATATATTATATTATATTTTATATATATATATATTATATTATATTTTATATGTATATTATAATATATTTATGTATATATTATATTATATTGTACAGATAGTCCCCTACTTAATAACATTCTACTTATGAACATTCCATACATACAAACAAAATTTTTTAAGTACTAAAGTCCAAAAAAGTGTTTGAAAGATGCTAGAAAACTTCAGGTATTCTTAATGTAAACAAAACTTTAAAACAATGGGAAAAAAGGTAATGGAGACCCGACTTTCGACATACAAAGAAATCAGCTTACAAACAGCCTCTCGGTCCCCATTATGTTCTTAAGTAGGGGACTTACTGTATATGTATTATATCATATTTCATATATATTATGTTATATATGTATATATATATTATACTATATTTTATATACATATTATTTTATATATGTATATATATATTATACTATATTTTATATACATATTATTTTATATTTATATATATATATATATATATATATATATATATATATATATATATATATATATATATTATATATATATATATTATATATATATATATATACATATACATATACATATACAAATACATATACACATATACACATACACATACAACATACACATACACACATACACATACACACACACACACATACACACACACACACATACACACACACACATACACACACACACACATACACACACACACACATACACACACACACACATACACACACACACACACCACACACACACACACACACACACACACACACACACATACACACATACACATACACACATACACATACACATACACACATACACATACACACATACACATACACACACACACATACACATACACACATACACATACACATACACACATACACATACACATACACATACACATATACACATATACACATATACACATATACACATACACATACACACATACACACATACACATACACACATACACATACACACATACACATACACATACACATATACACATACACATATACACATATACACATACACATATACACATACACATATACATATACACATATACATATACACATATACATATACACATATACATATATACATATACATATACACATATACATATACATATATACATATATACATACACATATACACACACACACACACACACACACACACACACACACACACACACACACACACACACACACACACACACACACACACACACACACACACACATATATAGAAAAACACTTCCAATATATTTATTTCTGAATACTTGTTATCTTTAAATAGTCTATTTCAAAATATATACTGTTTGTGTAAATTAAGTATGACACAGAAGGTGACTTAGACATTTAGTTGTCAATTAAAAAATCAATAGATATGCAAACCTACGAAGTTGTTTAAACATCTAAACTGGTCTGGAAGTTAGACTACTTTCATATTTTATTTTTTAAAATCCAACCCTTGGTCATGTCAGTCCTCATGCTGTAAGGGAAAGGGACAGTTTTGGAATAAAACAGTGAATGAAATAGTATAACCTGAAGCATCTTTTCTAGAATGTGATCCCATTTATTTGGAATAATATTATATTATAAGAATAAAAATGAGACAAACAGAATTAGTTGTCAGTAACAGTGGGAGTGTATGTGTGTACCATTAGCCACTACTTACAGTTGTCTGAATGTCTTAGCAAGTTGTAATTGAAAATAAGGAGAAAAAAAGGTGAGAATGTAAAAGAGAAAGAGCAAGAGAGAGAATATGGGGGAGAGAGAGAGATAATAAGAATAAGAGTGAGAGATGGAGTTAGTAAGTCAGTGATACTGTGTATGTGCAAATAGCATATGACTGCTTACCATAGGTCATTCCTCCATTTCGCTACCATTTATCATACAAGTTTCTGGTCAAGTTGTCATTGAAAAGTTGTTAATAATAATAAAATTATATTAAAAATGTTTCTCCCTGAAAAGTAAATACTGTGCTAATCAGGTTGGCCTAGTAATTAACTCATTGCTGACCAAGCTCTTTTGGGACCACTTTTGTGTCAACCCATTGCATCCAGGTGTTTTGCTGCCTGCACATAGCCCAAAATCCGGGCATTAGGTCGACTCGAGTGGTGATTCATGGTTGTGTGACTTTTAGGCCAGGCGCACATGAACAATAGTTGTCGTTTGATATACTGTATCCAAATTAGTAATAGACTCCATATCATCTCTCTTGGTAGTCCATAATAACAATATGTAACATTCTGTTATGCATGTCAGTTCTTTATTTTTTTAATATTCACAATTTTTGTAATATAATCTACACCACCAGTCATGGTGGTCAGGAATATCATATTAGGCATGTTAACTCATTGCCACTGGGGGATGGCACGCACTTACACGCCATGCCCACTGGCAGTCAACTTGTTTGATTGTTTTTACACATAGATGGCTACACTTGTACTAAGTCACCAGTGAGCCAACTACGAGTACTTCCTGTCTCGCCCCTTCACCCTTTTCATCGACTTACGAAAATATTTAACGTTATCCTAATATGCTGTTAAAAATAACCCCATCTATATTTATAGCCCTAGTAAGAATACATTTTTTCCCGCCAATTCAAGGAAAGGTGAAATCAGGGCTAGCAGAGATATTTCACAAAAATATAAAAAATGAGTACAGCATTTTCCCCATTTTTTATTCATTTTCCCCGGTGGTGATGGGTTAATAGTGTCCTCACTGGAGTTTGTGCTCTATTAGTCATGGGTCAAGGATAGTACATTCCACACTAATTTACTGAAAGGAATATTGCAAGAGCCCCTTCCTCATGATTCGCCTTTTTTTTTTTTTTTTCTCATGTCAGTATGTTCCTGTAACCCTGGCCCTCGGCCAAATTTTTCCATATCAGGATGTTCACACCATGTGGCCTTTAAGTCATGCACCCAGATCCAAAGGGTTAACAAAGGACCACATATGTATGCATACCAGGTTTTAAAATCCCTCAACTACCCCTTTCTTTAATTCCACTTAGTATTTAAAGATTATGTTAAAACATTTTTTTTTTTCTTTCCAGATAACGAAAGCTGGCATTCGTGATATAACTCCTTTTATGACTGATACAAGCACTCCTATGATAATGGACTCTCCTGACCGAAAAAAGAGAAAATTGAATACTTAAATGCAATTTTACATGTATGGTCATTTTATGTATTTTTTAAAGCCATATAGTTATTAGATAAAATTTGTAGTATTTTCTAATGAGCAACATATATGTTTTAACAGAGGAATTATTTTTGTTTATTAAAAAAAAAAAAAAGGAAATGAAGCAATATATATGCCTTTTTTTTCTCTGTAAAGATGAATAGTATGAAAGTCTGTTTAAATAACTGTGATATGGCACACATTATATCTTTCATTTCATACAGACAATATGTATATATATGTAATTCAATATCTTCTGGAAAACAAATGTAGGGCAATTTAACTTGATTGGAGAAAGGAAAGTTAAAGTAGAATTTGAAGGAAAAGTACTGGAAGTACACAAGGAAACTTTTTGTTGTTCATATTGTCACATAATTTTATCCCAGTGTTCACTGGTTTACATACCATTGCCAACCGCCGAGTCAGATACAGACCAAATGACTAATTTTAGCTATTTTGAGGTATATGTTTTCCACACTAATCACATCTTACATCCTTGAACATACTACTTTCATTCCCTCTCCCTCTTACATTTTACCAGGCAAGAAATGAAAATGTTCTAAAATTGTATTGCATATTGGTAATATATTGTGAAGTAGAGTTATATTTATTGGACTGGTTACCACTGGTACAGGATTGCCTTCATTCTAGCCCGTAATGAGCAATTTTCATGCTACATGTGCCTGCCTTTCTGGATTATGTATTTTTGGGTCCAAGTATTATTTCATCATGCATGAAGTGTTTACTGGTACTTATATTTAGAAATCTACTAAAAATGCTGATGGGAGTAAACATTTTTAAAAGGAAATATATTTTTTCTTTTGACTGAAGGTCAGGTCATTACTTCTGATGCACTTTCATAACTTGTTTTCAAGATTTTTTCATTCTCCTGATCTAGTTTCCTCAATATTTGCCTGTTTTCTTTTCTGCAGTCAAATATATATATATAAAATTTACATTTTGAGGGAATTCTAAACATACTCCTATTATGAGAATGCAGTGGAAAAATGAGATAGGAAATAACAGCTCTTCTGACAGAATGAAGAAGTGATTAAATAATACATATACTATTGTGATATAACAAACTGTGGACTTGCCATCCATTTAAATAAAATATTTTTCAGAAAGGGAAAGTGCATTTTTTCACATTTTGCATAATGAATAAAGACCTCTTAACCCCTTGGTGCCGGGTGATGCCGATCAGCGTGAAAACAAACCGCTTGAAAGTTGGCATGCGGCCATACGCTGTGGCGGCGAGCCAGTGATTCGGACTGATGTCCCCTGCTCACGCACTCAAAGTCGGTGTTTTTAAAACTACTGAAGCATTTCCTTTCTTTCATAAGATAATATGAATGAAAATGAAAGAAAGGAGGTGTAGGAAAAAACAAGAAAAATTTGGAGTAAAACACTGACACAGTTTCAAAGGAAGTAGAGGAGGAAGAAGTAGAGGAAGTAGATGAGGATGAGGATGATGAAGTAGATGAGGATGAGGATGATGAAGTAGATGAGGATGATGATGATGATGGATGAGGATGAGGATGATGAGGATGAGGATGAGGATGATGATGAGGAGGAGGATGATGAGGATGAGGAGGAGGAGGAGGATGAGGATGAGGAGGAGGATGAGGATGATGATGAGGATGATGATGAGGAGGATGATGAGGAGGATGAGGAGGATGATGAGGAGGATGAGGATGAGGATGATGAGGATGAGGATGAGGATGAGGATGATGATGATGATGATGATGATGATGATGATGATGAGGAGGAGGAGGAGGAGGAGGAGGAGGATGATGATGATGATGATGATGATGATGATGATGATGATGATGATGATGATGAAGATGATGATGATGAAGATGATGATGAGGAGGAGGAGGATGATGATGATGATGATGATGATGATGATGATGATGATGATGATGATGATGATGATGATGATGATGAAGATGAAGATGAAGATGAAGATGAAGATGAAGATGAAGATGAAGATGAAGATGAAGATGAAGATGAAGATGAAGATGAAGATGAAGATGAAGATGAAGATGAAGATGAGGAGGATGAGGAGGATGAGGAGGATGAGGAGGATGAGGAGGATGAGGAGGAGGAGGAGGAGGAGGAGGAGGAGGAGGAGGAGGAGGAGGAGGAGGAGGAGGAGGAGGAGGAGGAGGAGGAGGAGGAGGAGGAGGAGGATGATGATGATGATGATGATGATGATGATGATGATGATGATGATGATGAGGAGGATGAGGAGGATGAGGAGGATGATGAGGATGAGGATGATGATGATGATGATGATGATGATGATGATGATGATGATGATGATGATGATAAAAAGAGGCAGGGCATACTCAACCCAAGTATTCCCTAATAACCAGCGGCAATGGTGGCTTTTCAAAGAAGAGCAGTCTGATAAGAGTGGCCACAGTAGAGCAAACTTTAAAAAACTGGCAGACTATTTTTCTGCAGTATTATGGTAACGTTTAGGAAGATTCTTCCTTCTACACTATCTTAAATCCACCATCTTGTACTCCTTCATCTCTGAGTGAACACACGTTTTGTTCTTGACTCCTTTCTTCTTATGAATGAATGTAGTATAAAATAATAATTCTTATATTGTAAGGCATGTAACACTCCCTACAACTACCCTCATTCCCCAATTCCCTTGGCAATCCCAATTGTCTTCCTTAACCAGTCATATGAGTGTTTATTGTTGGTCTGCCTCACTCTACTTGTGAATGGACAGTGAGCATGAGATAAGAATTACTGTAATATATGGTAAGTACACCTCCACTCTCCTATTTCCTTGGTACTCCCTTGTCTCCCTATTATATGAGTACCTCTTATTGTGGTCACACCTCTTGTAAATGAATGTTTTAAGTATGAAATACAGCTCCCCCCTTGTGTTCTCTCTCTCATTTATGTAATGAAAATTTTCTGCCATGTCAACATTTAAGATCATTACTGGCATATTCAAAATATAGCGATAGGGTGGGGCTTAAGGGCAAAGTCCCCAGGTAAGGAAGTTTTTAGGTTCAATAAGGTGATGTTTGTGGATTTGGTTACTGGTCAAAACCAATAAATGTGTATCAAAGTAATGATAAAGTAAAGTGGCATAAAAGAGTAAAAATGAGTTAACTATTAGAATAAGTGGACAGAAGAAGGGGATGAAGAAGAGAAGGTAAAGGAAAGGGTAGTATGGTAGTGAAAAGGGTACAGAGGGTGAGCTGATGGGGTATAGTATAAGGTACAGGTTAGAAGGGGAAGGAATTAACCCATATTTGCTGGGCCATGCTTATAGCCATCATAACAAACCGACTCATCACAAAGGGTATGGCTTTAGGCATCATGATGTGCTAGAGCAAATTGAGTAGAAAGTTCCACTAGATGAAGCGGACTCCTGGGCCAAACAGCAAGATGGTTGCCAGAAATCACCGTATATCGAAGATCATGTAGCTTGTTGTCCTTTTAGCAGGGATCCTAAGAAGTGGACAGATGGGGTTGGAAAAGAGAAAAAAAGGAGCTGCTTCCCTACACTGGTTAATGTAGCAGCACTGTAATGATATCGCATTATAGTCCGTGAGGCAGGCAAGCAAGTCTTCTCCAAAATCTGACCATTTTTTCTTATAGATAAGGCAGTTTGCAGGGGGAGGAGGCAATTCCAGTGGAAGTATTGAGGGTTGGAGGAGGTTCTGCAGGAATGGGGTTACCAGAGAGATCAGTTAGTGTTGATAATGCTATAGCTTGGTTTTTAACCCCTTTCCGACGGGTGACGCCGATAGGCGTGGAAACAAACAGCTTGAAAAGTGGCATGTGGCGGTATGCCACGGCAGCACGTCAAAGCGCGGCGATCCAGCGATTCAGGCTGATGTACCGAACTCACGTGCTCACGTGTTTTCTTCACCTGTCACCATTGGGTTAATATTACTGTGACGAGACGGGAACAATTGGGTTAGCTACGGAAAGAGACTTTGCCTACTTGCTTTTATAGACATTGCTGGAAGAGGAGTGTGTTGTCAGAGTAGGGAGCTGTGGAAGGGATCACAAAATATCCGTCCCATTTGGCTGGGCTAAATAGAGTATTTATGATATTTGTAGAGATGTGGAAAAGAAAAAAGAAAAAGAATGGAATTATTGTGTGCTAATATGATAAATTTTCTGACAAAGTGGTCTAACTCTCACAGGTTCCCAGAGTCAAAGAGGTTCAGGTTTGTCCATGGCAATCTTCTTGTCTGATCCTGCTACACCAACATGTTTCTCACGTGCCAAATTATTTTCAAATTATCTTTGAAGGTATATGAGTGAGATTCTTACTGCACCTTCTTTAGCGAGAGAAATTACATGTGTATTTCAGTGTGGATTATTGTGTCAACACCTTAATTATATAAAGACAAGCCTTTATATATCCCTTGATATGATAAATGGGTTGTTCCCCTAGACTTGTGAGCATAGTGCTAATAAGCACTTCACTATCTTAACCCCTTGCCGCCGGGTGACGGCGATACGCGTGTAAACAAATCGCTCGAAAGGTGGCGTGCGGCCAAACCAGCCGGCGGCGCGCCAAAGCGCGGTGAGCCAGTGATTCGGGCTGACGCCCCGTACTCCTGCACTCAAAGTCGGCGCACTGCCTTTGTTTGCCAGAGCGTAGTTTTATTTTCCTTTAGTACACCCGGCGTCATTGGGTTAAAGTAAAATAAGTACATTTCCTATTGATTATTCATTTTCTAGTTTTGTAATAGTTTTACATTGGCACCAACCTTCAAAAGTTCTCAGTAGTGTTAGGTACTGAAACTTATATTATTTGCAATGTCAAGAATTTTTAATTTTCAAGATTTTCTGGGGGGGTGGAAGAGGAACATATATACACACACTTACAGGTCATACATAAATCAATCTGTGTTGTAATTGGTTTAATATTCCATCATTTACTACATATATAAATAGTGAGCTTCAATTATGGTGTAGTTCTGGAATTCATATGAAAACAAAATCATAATCTGTTTCCGATGTATTTGACTTATTTAAAATGTTTATATACAAGAAAAATATCCCATGGAACAGGAATAATATGCTACATCATGAAAGTGACCTCACCTGTAAATATTACATGTAATCAACTTAACCGAGATTGATAAGGACACAACACTGGGTCATTATTGGCTCTACCTAAACCATGGGCTTTGCATCTTGGAGCTGGAACCAATAGCCGCACTCACAGCGCTTAGACTCGCCCTTCTCCAGCCACATCCAGTTGATGCTAGTGGCATCTTCTTCACAAATGCAGCCAACTAATCGCCTGTCGTAGAAAGAGGGGACACTTGTTGGGTTGGTCTGGTCTCCACTCACACGTTTGTATACCCTCATGTCAAAAGGGTTCTGAAATGGAAAGATAATTTTGTTAAAGTTACCCACTAGTACCATATAGAAGTATATTGTCCACTATAGTTTTATTTTGCAGTATATATGGCTTCAAAAGTCTACCATCTGTTTACCCTATTTCT